CGCCCTCGGCGGGCCGGGGATGGGGGGATTCCTGTCAACCCTTGCCCGCCCCAGCCGTGAGCTCCCGCGGGGGCGCGGGGACGGTGCCCTTGAGGCCTTTCGGGCGGCCTTTCGTGGGGAGTGTCCCGGTAGGAGGTGTTCTTCCCGGTACCGGCGACCTTCTCCCATCTGCCCTTCTCCCGGTCGGCGGCCTGGCGGGGCCTGCGTGCACGCCGTTCACGGCGGGAGGGCGGGGGGGTCACGCATCTCTGGGAGAAACTTCTCACCTGCCGGCAAAACAGCTGGCCAACCTTCACTAAATATATGCATGTAAACGTACGACACGCATTGTGTAATTAAAACCCTGACAAATACTTTTTTTTAAAAAAAGGGATTTAAGGAGCTGTCAGAATTCATCAGCTTGGAATGCTGGTTGCAAGGACCAAAGCAGTCTTTTCTGACGAAACAGGAGTGGACTGAGTTGGGATTTAAGCATGCACAAAATATTTTCTGCTCTCGTGTTTTGTAGAAGCATTGGATTTTTTTAATGATATATTTCACGTGACATTTATAGAGAAAAGTTCCTCAAGTATAGCTGTGTGAAAGAACAGGTGCTATGAGGTGTGAAAGTTAGCCAAAGTTTTTAACTTAAAAATCCCCCACAAACGTTTCTTTTGGTCATTCTTTTCTAATTTGTTTCCCTAATGAAAGAGGGAAGCACCTAAGCCTTATGTGCCGACAGAGGAGGAAAGACGACTCCTCAAGGAATGTGCTGAAGAGAGCGCCCGGTACAGAGGTAAGTTCAGTTTGCTAGTAAACTTGGTTTGCTATTCTTCCGCCTTAGTTTTTGTTGTTATCTGAGGCATTAAGGAAGGAAGGCAGTTCACTAACACATGGTCTGAAATTGCATCCCAGTAAATGTTGGTCAGTTTAGGATTTGCTTTTATTAAGAGTTTGCAGGACAAGAATTTTGTAAAAGATGCAACAAACTTTGTAAGGTTTATGCTTTATAACCAGATCCCTTCATATTTTAAATTAATATGCTTATTAAAAGTCTGAAAATAGTAATGGAGTCTCATTTATTTATGTATCTGAATAATCTTTTTTTGTTATTTCTACGTTTTTGTTTTCATTTTATTAATTTTTAGAATGCAAGAATAAAATAGTTTAGCTTGGAAACACTGCTTTCTGTCTTTCCGGAGGCTTGTAGTCACTCAGCTCAGTTTTTGGAGAAAGTTTCGTGTCTGCATGGCCAGATGTTTGGGCTCTTTTCCCTGTAAATAAAAGCTAAGATTCTCAAGCATGACTGTGCAGTCAGTAATGATTTCTGTACTATAGCTAGTACACAGGAATAATAAACTTGCATTGTTTTCACAGAATACTTTGTGTCTCATCTTTATTTGAAATATCAAGGTTATGTTGGTGGGTTTTTTCCACAAACATTGAGAATTGATGGCATTACTTCTTAACATTGTTTCTGTAATCCAAAGGTTCAAGACATGCCTGTTTTTATACACCTGGTCAAGAGGTTTGACCAAGCCTTCTGATGTGATTGTTACCCACTGTTTTATCACACACTAATAGATTACTCCTGATGCTGATAGGTGGCTTAGCAGAAACCAGGACGGATGAGGAATTTAGCAGCTGATTTGCTAAATTTAGCACACTGGGACTCTGATTTCTCCTGGCAGCCAGTACTTTCATGGGCAACTTCTAAGGCATTGTGATTTTGAATTAATGATTCAAAGTTCTGCCTTACATTTCTCCATTGCTTTGGCATTTTCCTCTTCTACTTTTTATTCAGATATGTGGAAACCTTCAGCTGGTTAGCTAAAATCTAGCTATTTTCCTTATATTTTTATAAGTGAAAAGAGTCAGGTTCATTAGTAGTAAGGTGATGATTGGCTATGGCTTATTGATCAGCTCTCTCCTGGAAGACAAGAGGGGAGGGAACTATTTGTTCTTCTTGATGTGTTCTGCTGCAAGGTCTTGATTGGCAACGTAACTTACTGCCCTGTTCATCCTTACGCAGGGACTGAAGACACAACATGAAGGTATTGTTGAGAAGCCCCAAATTAGTTTCTTCAGTAATTTCACTTTAGGAAGCTGCAACAGTAATTGAGAGATTTTTTTCAGCAGTTGTGTACTGTGCTGTTATCTCACTGGCAGAGCCAAAGGCCCATCGCTGTTTTATAGGTCTCCTGCCTTTGTTTCATCGTTCTGCAGATTGGTGTATTCACTGTATTAAATGCACATTACTTGAATGCCCCTTTGCAAGAGGTATGGGCTGCCTGTGGGGCTGCCCTGACATCCTCACTTCTTTCTGTGTATTAGTTCTTGTTACTCACAGATACTACTATAAATTGGTGTATTTGGGGTTTGTTTATTCAAATTTCAAGCTGTAGCCAATTTTTACCAGTTCTTACAAACCCTCTCTGTTTTGCACTGGTTTCTATTGACAGCTTCTATTTCAGAAATGCTTGCTAGTCATTTCGTAATTCAGTTTAATATATGCTTTACTGGTATTAGTAACTTTTAATAACATTATCATATAATATAAATTCCAATACTGTAATAATTCACATGACAATCTACAAATTTTATCCTTTGCACTTTTACTCTCACTAACAAAATCAAACCAGATCGATAGGACTTTTTCTCCATAAAACCATTTTGACAAGGGTACATTACATTCCCATCCTTAATTATGTGCTGCTGATATATCAGCGTTCCGTTATTTTCCCTAGGATTTATTCTGTTCCTGAAGCTGAGAAAGTACTTTTTGCCCATAGCAGTGAAAAGCATCGCTATTTTCTGATTTATTAAGCTGCTTTTGGCTTTTTCTACACTTGAATAATTATTCATAATAATTTTTACACATGAACCCAATTTTCATGTACATAATACTCTTTTAATTTCTAGTTACTGTTTTAGGTCATTTATTTACTCAAATACTAGCAGCTGTTTCCACTAAAGTGCATAACCTGTCTTTGATGTCTGGAATATTTGTGTTGGGCCTATAAACAATTTCAAACCTCTAAAGGTTAGACTGAAGTCCTCTGTAATGAGTTCTTTTGGATTCCCCCCCCGCCCTTGTGGGTTTTTTTTTTTCTCTTACAATTTAGCTTCAAATCTGCACTGCCATTCTATATCTAGAACATCTAAAAGCATCGGAGTTTTAATCTTTAACAGATTGGAAGATTTTATTCTCTGTTTTGAAGTGTTACTGTAATCTTGCTCGTGAACCAAGGAGCCACTTTTTCTTAAAAACTTCTTAAGAACATTTTCTAAAAAGTGACATCCAGTCATATTTACCCTAAAATGCTGGTTAGACTCCTAACCTATTTTAGACCTGTCAGAATTTGTAAAGGAATAAACTGTTAGTTTGCAAAGTATATTTTAGTACTGCGCTGTCTAAATTCTAAAAAAAAAAAAATTATCCTCAAATATGGACTTAATTAGCAGATTGTGTGCACCAAAACACTGTAAACATCTAGTACTGTTGCAAAAATTTCTCCCCTAGGTAAAGTCCTTGAGCCCTTTTGTAACATCTACATTTTTAGACTTGCTTAAAATGTAGTTTCATTATGACGCATCTAAATCTTTAATGTAATTAACTTTAGTCTTCTGTTGTGTTTGTTATTTCCGTGTCACTGTATCTTGTGTAGGTGTAGTGGTCTTTACAAATAGTTTCAAAGTTAATTTTCCCAATACCATCATTATAATTGCTTGAAATAAGCATTCCTTTTGTTTCTTGCCATCTTCAAATGCTTCCTGCCACCCAAACTCTTTCAATATGATAAAAGTCGACATGAACTGTTAAGCTGATTTAGGCAGGCAGTGATGCTGTTCCATGTTTGTTGTCTTCTCTGCGTTCCTCACCCTACGCCTGAGCTGTAGAGTTTGATCCATAAGCTACAGAAGAAGCTGCCCTGTTCTTTAATTTGCTGGTGAATAAAATGGGTTATCTAATTTTAATCAATTTCATTTATGTCTCTATAAAAGAGTTAGACTTTTTCCAAAATTCCTATGTTAAAACGAAATCAAGAATTTGGTCATCAAAAATTTTTAGTGGCACTGGCCTCTATGTAACTTGCCTTCTGTGTATGCTTCTCTGGTTTAACATGCTGCATCCAGATGCTGTAGCAGTCGTAGCTAGACCTGGAGTCTTGTCCTTAGAGCTTTATCCTGTCTGGCATTGGCTTTTGTATTTTAGGAAGCATGAAGTCTAATGAAGATGGGATGACTCATTAAGTGGTACTGCATAATTTGTAGTAGGTCTTAAAAACTGGAACTGAGAATGTTTCATAATTTATATACAGTTTGTTAATTATGTATATATCATATATTTTTGTGTCTTATATAACTCTTACACAAATTAGTTTAGTAAGGTCTAGCAACTCTCATTTTATTGCATATTTTGTTAAATGTGGTTGAAAACATTTAAAATAATATTTTAAGCAGCTTTTCTTTTTCTTCACAGCTTTTCCTTTGGCTGCAGTGAGCATGCTTGCTACTAGTTTCTTAATTAGAAAAGGTAAAGTGTAAACATACTTTGGGTTAATTTGGGTTCGCTCAGATGAAATGTATTTCTGCTGTTAATAAAGTTACTGCAATAATACAATGTGTAATCTACTTGTAATTAAAAGAAGTTCAGACTCTTCAGCTACATGACTTGCAGTTCCTAAAACTAAAGAAGGAGCAAAACTTTAAATTAAAATAAAATCCGTGTTCATTTCATGTTGTTTGATAAATGCAGTATCTCAATAATTACGAAACAATGTATTCAATAGTGTGTAGTAATACTCAGTGTGATACGATTAAAGAGGTAATTCTTAGATCTTTATAAATTCATGGGGAATTCAGATGTTAGGTTTTCTTGAATTTTCTTCAATGTAAGTGTAAAAGAGTAACCTGCTACCTACAAACATAACTACAAACTAACCTGGAAATGTAACTACAGTTGATGTTTTTCAGCTTAGTTCTTAATAACTTATTGCTAATTACTTTGATCCTCATTTTCAGGTGTTCTGAGAGATACCTCAAGATTTGGCTCTTTTACGAAAGTTGCGTGTAAGTAAAAGCTCCATACAAATTCAGCTTGTATTCGTGTCGTAGGTTCTGGAGTCTGTTACACAGATGTAATTCCCATGAGCCTAGCTGGCTGATTCACTGTGACTCCACTCTATAGAATTCTAGAATCAGAGTATCTCAAGTTGGAAAGGACCCATAAGGATCATCAAGTCCAACTCTCTGCTCCTCACAGGACTACCTAAAACTAAGCCATATGACTAAAACCATCGTCCAGATGCTCCTTGAACTCTGAGAGGGTTGGTGCTGTGACCACTTCCCCAGGGAGCCTGTTCCAGTGACCGACCACCAATCAGTGAAAAACCTTTTCCTAATGTCCGGTCTGAACTTCCCCTGACACAGCTTCATTCCGTTTCCTTACGTCCTACTGCTGGTCACCAGAGAGAGGAGATCAGCACTACCCCTCTGCTGCCTGCCTTGAGGAAGTTGTAGACTGTGATGAGGTCACCCCTCAGCCTTCTCTTCTCCAAGCTGAACAAGCCAAGTGACCTCAGCTGCTCCTCTTGCCCTTGAGAGTTTTGCCTTCGAGACCTTCCGCCGTCTTGGTTGTCCTACTCTGGACACACTGTTAATAGTTTGATGTCCTTATACTGAGGCACCTAAACCTGCGCACCAGTACATGAGGTAGGGTCACACCAGTGCAGTGTAGAGTGCGACAATCGCCTCCCTCAACTGGCTAGTGATGCTGTGCTTGATGCACCCCAGGACATGGCTGGCACTCTTGGCTGCCAGGGCACACTGTTGGCTCATACTCAACTTGCCATCAACCCAAACCCTCAGATCTCTTTCCACAAGGCTGCTCTCCAGCCTCTTGTCCCCCAGTTTGTATGTATAACCAGGATTACCCTGTCCCAGGTGGAGAATCTGGCACCTACAGGATCATAGAATCAATTCTTGCATTGGTACAACTGTGCCTAAAGATAGGAGTAAGTGACCTGGTGTATCCAATGAATAAGCATCACCTTGGTGCAGTTAATTCTATCAGTCAGCAACTTTTTAGCCATGTTTCTTAACTACAACATCTCATACTGCAAGAACCAATTCAATGTCAAGAGGTAGAGCATTTAATTTATTCACCATCTTTGAATTTGTGCAGCACGTTTTGGACATATTTCAAAATATGCTTGACTAGTCTAATGTAAGAATTAAAGATAAACATTGTAAATAGATATCATACAAGTTTACTTTAAATTACTTTGCCAGAGTACATCCACCCCTCCCTTCCGAATTTGAAGGTCTTTATTCATGCGTCTCACTTGTCCCATTCAGGTTATTTTAGTGCCTTTTTTTTCCTGGACATTATGTATGTACAATTGTAGGAAAACAGCAATTTCATATGAATGATTTTGGATTAAGTATAATCAAAAATATTAATAAATTAACCTTTTCAATGTAATACATGACAGTAAAACAGGAAGTTGCCATCTTGCCAATCTGCCCAGATATAGCCAATTACTCTTACAGTTTACTTCAGTAGGAAGAGGGTAAACCCCATGATTTGTGGTGAAGGAAGTGTTGTTTAAGCAGATAAATGAATGTGAGAGACTAGGGCTGCCATTTGTTTATGCTAAATTCTACTTGCTTTCTTTGAAGGCCGGACAATGTTATAACACAAACATTTCTACTAAATAACAGAATTACTATTTCCCTGATACCTCTTACACATTTCTAGTTAAGGGCTACATTCCTCCTATTTAACAGAACAAAGTTTTGAAATAAAGGGAAAAAAATAAGGAGCAGCTGGACCAGACCAACTATTCTTGATGTTAAGGTTATAAGCCAAAATACTTCTGGCTTTTCAGTGTACACTGGTAGGCATATGGACTTTCATTTTATACTAAAAGAATTTTCCATGAAGTGCGTGTTTCGGTTATTTTTCAGTAGGTAACTTCATGTGATTGATGTGTATTTTAAATACGGGGATTTTTCTGGGACATACTTGGAGTGTAAAAGGCCTGAGTTAAGCAGTTTTTGTTTCATCCTCATATTGTTTAGGTCAGATGCCCCTACTGTCTACAGGATCTTCCTGAAAACTATTGCCAGAGACATAATTTATTGTCCAAATTATGTCTCATAATTTAACTGCACATTCCTCCTGCAGTGAAATCTGATTAAAGGAAGCGGTGCAGCTGTGTTTTGGTTTGGGTTTTTTTCCTCTGTGAGTTCTGACAGAAGAGCATATGCAATTCTAGGCACTGCTGCTAGCTCGTAGCTAGCTGATGATGTTAAACAGCTGTAAGACAGCTTAAGACAGTTCTTGCTTTTCTGGTGTCACTGATCTGAGCATACTGCTTCTGCATTTATTGATTACAATAGTCTGTCTTTGATAATGGCGTGTGTCACTTGTGGTTGTTAGATTCTTTTTCTGAAGGGTATCTATGCGTGATTGTAATAATTGGTCTTTAACTAACAGTCTGGAAAAAAGAAGGCTGTGGGGAGACCTGATTATGGCCTTTCAATACCTAAAGGGGGCCTATAGGAAAGATGGGGAAAATCTTTTTAGTAGGGCCAGCTGTGACAGGACAAGGGGGAATGGCTTTAAACTAAACCAGGGTAGGTTTAGACTAGATATAAGGAAGAAATTCTTTACAATGAGGGTGGTAAAACACTGGAACGGGTTGCCCAGAGAGGTAGTGGAGGCCCCATCCCTGGAAGCATTCAAGGCCAGGTTGGATGGGGCTCTGAGCAACCTGATCCAGTTAAAGACGTCCCTGCTCACTGCAGGGGGGTTGGGCTACATGACCAAGGGGTCCCTTCCAACCCAAAACATTCTATGATTCTATGATAGTCGAGCCAGGTTTTTTCAAGTCTCCATCTTGCATTTTTCCCTGTTTGCCCCTCTTGGTTTTATCTGGAAGTTGAGAGGTGTTTCATTTTCTAGATGGGAATTTTCAGATTCCAGGATATTCTTCTGCCAATAGGAATTACTTGCAGCTTTTCTCAGTAGTCTTCTAGGCACTCTGACAATTCAGTGGAACTTCTAGTTGGTCACGACTGATACGTTGCATTGACATCCATCAACATAGCATAGAGCTATTGGTCCTCTACCCCTCTTTGGCAGAGAAGGGTAAGATCCATATGTCCTAATTCATGTTAGCCTGCAGTGGGACCTGGCCTCTTTTATCTGCCTCTGATCAGCTTCTCTAAGGTCTTGTCACAAGTGAATACAGAAGAAGCAGAGAGCAGCAATATCTAATATACTATGCTAACTTCAAAAATGTGGATCATCTGGCTGTTAGTTGTGTAATAAGAGAAACCAAATATTTTAGCCAATAATTGCTTGGGGTGAAACATCTTCCAGAGAGATGCTTCCACTTTTCTGGACCGGAAGGCCTCAAGAAAAGGAGACGTTCTCTTTGTAATTTATGACAAAGTTTAATCACCTTTGCTGCTTAGCTTTATTTTGCTAAATATTTACTTTGAATTCTTGTTGGGCTGTTTCTCCTTTTAGGGCTTGTATTTTTTCCCCTCTGCACATATTCATAGTATTTGAGATATCTTCCAGTTTTTTTGACCTGCTAAACAGCTAAACCCTTAACATTTCTCATTTGTAAACTTCACTCATAGTTGTGGCTGTCCTTTTCCCTTGGAAAAGGATATTTAGCCTCCTTTTGAAAATACAGACATTAAAACAGGAATCACAATTTCAGTACCAGTACAGAAGGGTAGGGTAAAATTCCCTTTTATATTGATTCCCAGGCGATGTAATCTACAGTGTGAGGTCCTTGGAGGATTAATGTTACTGGTAATTAACTCTTTCCTGACTTAAAGATGACTCAGAGTCTTTATTCTTTGTTTAGAAAATACTCGTTACATGTGAAAGAAGGATCTAGTCCTTTTCTCCTACAAAGTCAACAACATAATTTCTATTCATGCCATTGAATCCTTTGTGCTGCTTCATACTCATTTTGACCCACTCATAAGCCTTGAAGGAGCCAGTTGATGGAAATCATCAGTTTTAAGCCCAGAAAGAACTATCATGATCGTTTATTCTCATGTCCTGTCTAGCAGATGAAAATATCTCATGCAGTAAATTGAAAGCATTTGCCTAGAGATTGCGAGGGTTCAGCTAATTCAGTTGTTTGCCCTCCGGCCACCATATCATAGAATTCTCTTCAGAAGATACTGAGCCTAGTCCTAAATTTATTTAGACTTCTCTTCGTACTAGTGAAAGCCCTTTCAAGATCGAACTGTTCTGATGGATTAAATTGGCATAATTTACTACCTTTGTTTATTCCTGACTGTTTTATCATCTTTGATAGTTAGTTGTTATTTCTGGATCTTGGGAAAAACTGATTGCAATTATTTTCCTTTTTTTGTCACCTTCCATTCACCAAATGCTAGCTGAAATCATCTAATGCTCATGCCATGCCTAAATCATTGCTCTGTGTCTCTGTTCAGCTGTTGCATTTGGTTTTAGTACCCTTTGTCTGTAAAAGAAGCAGAGATATGATTACTGCATGTTTTTCATTTAGATCTAAACCGTTTCTTTTCTTTTATTCCAGATACTGTATAATTCATTTGAAATTATTATTTTAAAACTATGTTGAATGTTTTGATACAGTGTATAAAGCCATCTTTCTTTCTTTTAAAAAAGTTGCTGGAATGTGTGGATACCTGGCTGGAAAGATATCCTACTTGCCAATCTGTAGCGAGAAATTTAAGAAACTGAAGGATTCCCCAATAGGAGATGTTCTACGCCAAGCTCAGAGACATAGTTCACATAAGTAAGATTTTAATTCTCTCTTAAATTTAAAACTTATTCTTGAATAGGACATTTTAAACACTAACAAGTCAAGGCTACATTTGCAGCTTTCAAAGACCTTCAGAGCTGCACCTTCCCTCTTTTATCTCTTACCTCAAATCTACCACTTTCAGGAAGCTGTATCTGTATCGGTTGGCCAGCTATAAAACACACATTTTGAGCTCTATACACAACTGATCACTTCGAGGAGTAGAAAAAGAAACATTTTACTTAGCAAAATGTATTCCTTGGAAATTAAGATGTTGTTTTCCCGTGGAACTTTCTTACAGTAGTGTGACAGCAGAAGTTACTTAGAAGTAAACTAAGTTAACTGAAATAAAATAGTGTTACGTTCTGGAATTTTTTTCCCATAGTTTAGTTTGATTGAAGTAGGAAGAGGGTGGAAATGATTTCAGTGTTTATCAAAGGAAAAAGCTCAGTAAACAATATCAGTGCAGGAAGAAGCATGGTGGTCAAACTTACTGCTGTTTGTTTAAATCCTTTACATCTGTAACAGCATTATGCTGTACATGTGAGAAACTCATCAGGTTCTTAAAACTATTTCCTGTTTTGTTCCAAAATGTTTTCTACCTCAAGTGGTTTTTAATTGCAAACTACTTTTGGAACATCTCACTTAAGCCCTTGATTCAAACCTGGGAGAATAGTGTTTGGATAGTGAGTTGTCTTGCTATGTATGTGCTAAGATTTGTTAAATGTTTATAAAACGCTTGATTAAATTCTTAATTACTTTATAAATTCAGATTTATGACAGTTTTATCTTTAAGGTTTACCTTTATTCTGAAATGTTTGCAGATTTTATGGCATCAAACATAATGTTAGTAACTACCACTTTGCACATTTACTGTATAAACTCAGCTGAATCAGAGCTGGACTTGTCCCTTCACGCCCCTCCAGTTAGAAATTGTCATGATCATTAGCTCTGTTTACTGTAGGTGAGAACTTGTATAAATGCCATCATCTGCTGCACCAGTAAGTCCCTTCAACCTTTCATGGCCCCTTCTTTTCTGTCTGTAAAATTTTATTTCCTAAGTGATAAATTCTTTTTTTTTTTTTTTTTCCCCTCAGTTGAATGATTAATTTAAATTCATTCAAATTGCATTATTGTCCATACATGCTACTCTTCTAAGCCAGCAACAGAAATCATTACATTTTCGTGGTCATTATACATCTACTGATTAATGTATTTTGGTAATTCCGATTTGCAGTTAAAAATAGGTAGGGAGCTAAAAGATTCAATAGTTCTTTAAAGCTGTGTTTGCATATACTTTAAAAATATAATTGAGGCAATAAAATGGCTTAGCTCTGTAGGTTTATTGTGAGAATTAAACAAAGACTAATTGCAAATGTTTTTCATATGAAACTAAGAGTACAGCTAAGCAGAAATTTAAAGTAAAAAATGCATAAATACTCTAGAGACATTCTAGTGGCACCAAGCGGTGGCATTCTTGATAAAGAGACATATTGTATAGTGGCTTGCAGGGTCATTCCAAGTATGTAGCGAATGCTTTAGAATATCAGGCATCAGCTTCCAGAATACTTTTTCTATGATCTTACCTTTCTGTCTTAAGAGAAAATTCGTTAATGTTTCTGCTGAATTCAGCAACTCAGTAAACCTTCATCATTTAATTTCCCCAAGATACCTCTTTGTTCTCCTTTTCTTCTGCTGTTCCCTACTGATCAACTACAGTAGCTTCTAATGATGAAGGATTTTAAATTGCAAATTCTTCCTAAAAGGCCTTTAAAATTAACTATAGTTCATGCTACCACTAGTTACATGGGCACACCCTGTACTATTTGTGTCTGATGTGTTTTTTCTGTCTGGAGACTCCCTGGGGGAAGGGATTGTCATTTTTGTCTTGTAAAGCACAAAATACTTTGTCTCTTTTGTCTTCTGTTCTGGCGATATTCATGTATGAGAGGTTTCTGGGAGGAAGGGAGAGTGTTGGGGAATGGACTATATAGATCGTTGCAACGTAAAGAAAAAAAAAAAACCAAAACAAACCCAGACCCCAAACTTTTTTTAAGACAATAATTCATGTTGGAAATGAAAGCATTTAAAATAAATAGTATTTTCTTGAATTGTTACTCTTATAGTTCCACTTTAACGTCAGTATTTCTGTATTTAATATTTAATTGTATTCTTTTCCAGCCGTTCCAGTCGGAAATCTGAATTTTCAGACATGCCTCCTCAGTCATTTACTGAATCTTCTTCTCCAAGAGCTGAATTTCCACTTTCTTCTAGCTATTCAGATGATTATAGTTCAACAGATAGAGCCCTCTCAAGTTATGAACCTGTTCCATTCAGTGCTTCCCTGAATGAATCTTCACCTACAGGAATTACTGATTACACTGCTCAAGGTGTGTTTTGTCTTAATATTAAGTTTGTAGTACAATGACTCTTGCCTTTCTCTTAGATACTGCTCTTACTAAACCCTGTATTTTCATCCCATGCAAATGTACATGGTGCAATGTAGTGGTTTTGAACGAAACAGCTTGAAGTTCGTAGAACTGTTTTTACACAGAAGGTAAACATATGTATTATTTTGTATTCGAACTGTAAACTAAATTCAGGGGTTTTTTTTCATGTTTTGTAGCTCTAATTGCAGTTAAAGATCGTAAATTAACTTAAAGGTCTAATCTGTTGTGAAACTAAACCTTTTTTTTTTAGGTGAATATGCCATCCTTTCACCGCACTAAATAAACCATAGTCTCTACCTATTGTCTCCTAGCCTTTCTGAGATTATTTCATTTTCTCCAGCGGTGGTGCTGTAACTGTATACTACTATAATTCAGTGGCATTAAGCTGTTTTTTATAATGTGACAAACACTTAAATCTTCTGCGAGCTGAATGCATATTGTGTTCTGTCCAGCAACAGCTGATTTTCTCACGGAGGGTTTTTGAGTACTGTTCTGTGCAGCTGTTCCCCTCCTTCCAGCATGAACTCTGTCCTCAGCTATTACAGGGGAAACACACAGTTCTGAATTTGGGTCTCTCTGGTACACAAAAGAGGTGGTTCCTGTCAAATGCAGAGTTTTGTACTTTGAATTAGTTTGGCTTTTTTATCTCCTTTATGGAAAGGTTTTATTTCACAAAAAGGCCCTTTCATGCAACTCTCGTTTATTTATATAGAAGTATTAGATGTAAATGTGTCAAGGAAATTGTAATTACACCTCATCACTAATACTGATACTTGGTATAACCTTAATTACAGAACCAAGATTCTGCGTTCTAAATGTATGAAATGTTTATCAGGTGACGTATGATGGATGTAGTCCTAGGTCTCTGAAAGCAGAATTTGAAGCCTGAATGCAAACCCTCGAGCATCACTTAGATTTTGCTTCAGGAATCGTATGAAATGTATGATTATCGTAAATTTTTATGTAAAGTGACCAGAACTATATAATCCATCAACAACACATGGTTGTTAGGATTCCCATTGGGTAAAATGAAGAAAAGGAGTTAACTGCCAATCTTCCAAAGCAGTTTGACAAAATGAAAAGGGTAAAAGGAATTAAGGACCCCATACATTCTCAGTTGTGTTTAGAATTGCAGCTGTCGTGCTCCTTTTCATTTGGGACTGAGCTGCCATTAACTGGCGTTCTAGAACAGGTTGTAGCCAAGCGCTGGTGTGTGATGCCATTTCTAGTATTTTGGTGTTTGTTTTGTTTTCAGATCCTGCTCCAATTCCAGAAGAAAGTCGTAAAAAAAAAGGCATCACATATGAGGAATTAAGGAATAAACACAGAGAGACATATGAGGTAATGCTACCACCAAAGGCAGGAACTCCAAGCAAGTTTTCACAGGAAAAACCAGTTAAGGAAGGTAATGTACTGATTTACAGAAATGGGTAGTACATTCAGATATTGGCAATCATGTTAAAACTGGCTCAATTCTGCTTACCATTTAAGCCATTTATGTTTACAGTATCTGCAGGTGTCTCGTGTGTGATATGGTCTGTAGTTTCGTATTTCACATTAATTCTTTTTTCAAAAATACTTATCTTCCAGTAGCAAATGGTATCTCCTCTTCTCCGGCCATACTGCTTGGTGCCAGGCTGAAAATCTCGTAACTTTTAATTTATTAAATATCTTGAGCAATCTCTTTCAACAAAGAATTCTCTGAGCTCAGAGCTATACTGAAGAGTTTTAGCTATGGAAGGGGGTGTATGTTTTAGATAGCATTGTTCTCTCAAAATAGAGCACACGGTTGATGGTTTTGAAGGGGGGGGTATTTATTTTAATGAATTGTTTCACGTGGAATTGAAGGATTTCTATAGAGGCATTGTTTATAGAGGTTCATTTTCTACGTTAAAACTCAAAGGAAGGAAACAGTATTTGGCAGCAAGCTTGAGACTTGTTTTCACAGTGAAAAACAAAACTTCACACAGCAAAGTAAGAATGCAATGTCCTGAAGAATAAGATGCCATTCAGTCAACTTTTTTGACTCAGTTTTTCGAAAAGGAGGCACAGAAGCAATTCATAATTGCTTGCTCTAGAACTTTATTTAGTGGGACCTGTGTGAAAATGGTATTAGCAAGAGGAATGTTTTTACCATTTAACACGTTGCTGGACTAGTCAGCTTGAGTCGCTTGGGTGCGTCTGCAGTGTCCGGTCTTGTCAGTCACACTGCAATGAGATTTGTAGGAATAGCTGATGTCTCCTGTCCGGCAGAACAGGTGGTAATAAGTATAGAGAAGTACATTAATGCAAACAGTTCTGAAGCGGTCATAGTGAGCTTTGGAACAGAGTTGCTTGAGAGTGTCAGTCTATGTGTGTGAATTCGTTTCTCCAGATCATCTGTCTTTGGACAGATCTACACGGTCTTGAAATAAAAATGATCGACAACTATCGGGTAATGATTTAAATCCGGTATTTCAAGGATGAAAGACATTTCCTCTTACCATGTGACTGTGCCAAATGGGACAGTAAACCACGATTGGATCTGTAGCTTCAGATCGCTTCCAAATTCCGTCAGCTGACACTTCACTGATTGACAGAACATTTATTTTTCAAGGTATTTCTCCACAAACAGAAAGCCTAGAAATGTCCCTTGAAAACCATACGCAGAAATCTTAAGCAACGTTCTGCAAACCTTGCCTTATTCCATGGCAAATGTTGTGGCTGTGAAATGAGAATATGCACTCGTTATTTTATTTTTAGTTACTTGAGGTCTATAAAAGACCTCTATAAAATGTTGATTGAATATTGAATTCTGTCCGTTAGGTTTTTGTGTTCCATTTGATGGTTATACTGGGGCTTTGAGAACAGAACTACGCTGAGCAGTACATGGGATTTGCAAATAAACTTTTTAAGTTCAAAGGTGTTTTACAAGTGGAAGCAGGTTTAAATCTACAGCTCGGGGATTCTAATGATGAAGCAGGCTAAGATCTGATGTAGCTTCTTGTGTCCCACTGGACGTGTTACATGTTGTATGCCTGTTTGTACGTCCCAAGTCATCACCCCTTTGTTCATCCTCTTACCTCTCTGTCATAGGAAAATAGGAGACAGTGGTTTCTGCCCTCTGTTGCAAGGACATAAGGAAAACCAAACCATTTTTAAACCAGTTTTAAGCAGTCCCTAACTTCCACCTGCTGGTGCCCTCTCCGTTCATTGGAGCCGTACAAATACGGGCATCTGCAGAGTGATCTGGACCAGACCATTTTTCAGGGAACGAGCGCAGCCTGCTCAGCTGCCGTGGGGAATAGAAACGGAAATCTAATTGTACTCTGAGAGAGCTGCTCATTGTGCCTCACCGCAGTATCGGGCAGCTTAAAAGAGACTTGTCAGCACCTTAGGCTAAGTTTGCTGACGTCTCACCGCAACAAGGACCGCACGTTCTGCTCTGTTCCATTGGTGCTATGGCAGATGGGTATTAGTAAACAGTGGGCTTAGGAATTAACCCGCAAGTCGATTTATAAAGGGGTGCCTGACTAGCGTCAGCATCCCTGCGGGATCGTGTAGGTCCATCCTTTACCCTGCCGGTGGTGGCAGTCAGTTACAGGCTGCTTTGCAGCTCACTTCCAAGAGAGTGTCTTTTCACTTTCTGGGCGTTGTTCGGTTACGCATGATGTACTTCGGAATAAATCCATTAAGACCAGTACCCTGGTTTGTTTTTGTTTTTTAACTCTGAGTCACTCCTATACTCAAGGAAGCTGCCAAATAGTAATGGCTGAGTAGTTTCCTACTAGGGATTACTGATTTTTTGTTTGTTTGTCTTTGAACATGTTTTTAACTGTCCTGAATCCATCCAATTGTGCACGTAACTAAGATTATGTAGCCACATCATTTATCGTAACATTCCTTGCCTGTTTCCTCCAATTGTCTTTGTTTCATCCATGTTACATTTGTTTCAAAGTAATTACAAATTCTCTAGAGCAAGAATTAGCACAGTAGGCCTCTTGACTGAGTATTAGTTCATTAAAGAATAATGATTAACAGACTCTTCTCTCCATTTATTCAAAAGTAGCTTTGTTAGATTCCTGTTGTGCTGTGACTGACGCGCTCCCCACTTTAAATGATAATGCGTTTCATCATCCGTTTCGGCATTGTGTAAGATAAACTTCTGCAGTTAAAAATTAAGTCATATGTGACTACTTTTTCTTCTTTTCTGTAGTTAAAGTAAATAAATATGGAGATACCTGGGATGAGTAAGAGCTGAATGAAGAACTGAAGAAAATTATCCCGTCAGCTAACTTGAACTTCATCTAGATTAGTCACGCGTATCGGCACCTTTGGTGTGTTCTGCCAGGCACAGCTTTTAATAAACGAGGAGAAAATCCTCACTTGCCAGAAGATGGGGGGGGGAAAGTATTTAGGCTTAATTTTTTTTAATTTTGCATAAATGGCAAGCGAGGCTGTTGTGAGGCGTCATGACTATGAACCATTTGTGCTGTTGTTGAAGAATGAAAGGGGTAACTGGCAATAACAAATGCAAATGTATAGCAAAAGGTAAAAAAATCTATGTAAATAAATGCAATCACGTGTACTGGGAAGGGAAAAATACCAGAATCTTCTGAAATTTTCAAGACCTGCATTAAAAGTTACCTGCAGAACTAACAGCTCACTGTGTTTTGTCTGAGAAGGGGTATGCTAGGAACCTCAAATTGTTGTCACGCTTGGTTAGTAATGTTTGGAATAATACTGGGAACTATTCAGGAAAAAAAGGGCTGAGGAACCAAGCCAAAGACGTAAGTCGGCATACTTAACTGTGGCTTTAGACCAATAGTCTGACTTGCCCACGCTGGGTCTCTCAGGCCAGTCATTTTGGAAGAAAATGATTGAATGAAACTGCAGATATTTAAAATAGCTCTATTTAAGCACAGAAGGTGAAACCTGACAAGCTTTGGTAAAAGTTTGAACAGAATCTTGACTGTTAGCACTAGGGTTTGTGTATTTAGCCTTATTGCTCAGTTTGTGCAAGTCATGACCAAAAAAACATCTTTACAGAGAAAAGATCCAGATCAGTGGAATTTTGTGTTATTACTAGCTATAAGAAAAGAGCCACGTTGGCAAAACTACTGTAGAGTATTTCCTAATGTTTGCATCGCCTGCGCTCTCTCAGTCGAAGTGTTGCCCTCTGTTAGGGGACCTCACCTTCTCAGCTGTGCTGTTTCATGGCACAGCATTGTGTTTATTTGGGGGTTGTGCCTATAGGTGAGCAAAAACCACGATGAAGTTTAGTGTAAAAGCTTTCCTGGCATCCGTGTTGGAGATGAAAAATAACTTTGCCTACCATGATGGAACTTCTCAAAGACCTTATTGGTTTAGCAGACTAGATTATTTGGGGGGAGTTCAGAGCAATTGGCTGAAATGAGGAGGAAAAAAGGGGGGAAGATGGGAATGCTTAAAGAGCCAAATAGAACATGTAATAATCGAAACAGGAACATTCCTTTCAGAAAAGCTGATCTTCTAAAAAAAGGATTGTGCTAATCAGATAATCTTGAAGTTGTATCAAAAATTTAACTTGCAGAGAATGCTTCTGGTGGCCATGATGAGAGAACTCTGAAAATACACAAAGTCTGCCAGAATTACATTGCTGTGTCTTCCAGTGCGCTGTTGCAAAGCTGATGAGATTTGTCATGAAAATATTCAGAAAGTTTCTTAGCTGCAAGCAACAGGAGGCAGAAGACTTGGATGACTGAGAGATTTGAGGAGATTGCTAGGGTGGTGGCTTTCCACCTGTAAAAAGAAGAAATGCTTTTTTCTTTTGAATGAACGAAAATGCTGGATGAATGGGAAGTCTCCAGGTGAGAAAATGCAGGAGCAGGGTTATGGCATTTGAGGAAATAGCAACACTGAGAAGACACAAGCTATTGAACAATAAGCCTGCCAATAACAATGTCTTTTTTGGGGGGGGGAGCAAATGGAGATAATACTGGATTTTCTTAAGTAAAAGAATATAAGGATATAGTAACTTTTCTTTTTTCCTCAGGCATCTTACTGCATGCTTATACTGCAAGTTGTTTATTTGTGTAAGGGAATGATTGTCTCGGGAGCCGACTATACAAGCTAATGCAAATACCTCTGCGGTGTGGACGCTCCACCGAAAAGCAAGACTCCCTCTATTTCTTGATGTTCACTGCGAGAGTCACTGCTGTTGTGCCAGTAAACTGGACTTAGGTGTAATCAAAAATTCAATAACACCCTGGGGCCCCAGGCTGGGTTGCAGGCCTTACGCTCCTCTTTCTGGCCGTTCTCCAGTTCTCAGTCTCGGGGCGCTTGCTGCGCTCCACGCCCGCGTCCGCACTGGCAGTACCAAGGGTTGTGTACGTACCACTGTACCGATCTGCTCTTATTCTGTGCTTCTGGTTACCTGTTATTTGTTCCTGACAGAATACCAGCTGGGGACCCGCTAGTACAGAACAGACACAGAGGGCAGAGTAGTTAAACCCGATGCCATTTAAGTGCCAAAAAGGCAATGCCTATTTCAGACCCGGCTCTCGCAAACTGTGGAGAACACTCGTTTTGTGTGCTGGTAACTGGTAATTAGCAGTTAATATGATTATCAGAAGCCTGTGATCTGAAAATGAGACTTCCCTCCAAGCGTCTTGCCTCAAATTAATATTTTAGGTGGGCAAACACAGCATTTTATACCAACTGTATTAGATTTCTTTTTTTCCTTACTTAGAGGGGAAAATAAAAGGCCTATATCATACATAATTAATGTTGTTTTAAAGTTTAGCGTCTCTGCTTAAGATAACGTTGTGTATATGTAAGATTTCTAAACTGAATACCATGTTTTCATTCTGTTGCATCTAGTTAATACAGTTAATACCTCCATAAGGTATGGCCATTAAGGCCATGCTTTTTTTTCTACTTGGGAACCAGCTGGGTTTACCATCAAACAGTTTAAAATTCTTTGGCTTTCCATCACTTCCTTAATAAGTATTAAATACAGGAGAGTTCGCAATCACAGCTGTTAATCTGATAGGGTACCGAAAACTTTTGTCTAAGCTGGGTCACGTTGTCACGTTCATTTTGCTGTAGCAACGTCTGTGTTGACCCCACAATTCGCTAAAATAGCTGCGGGAATTCGATCTTCGTCCTTCCCTTTCCCCCCTCATCTTCCATGAGTACCGCCACCTTTCAGAGCGGGTTTTTTCCAGCCTCGTGGTTTCATGACAGCTACCCACGAGCAGCTTGCTCGTACTGCGCTTGCATGACTTCTGGGGAGTTTTAACGGCATCCGAATGTCTTAAGAGCTGACGGCGGGGTTATTGTCACTGAAAACAGTGTCTCGATACAAAGAACTGGTAAGAATGGTGAATATGTGAAGAAAGAGGAAATGCATGACAGACCCTCTCACGTTATGTTTACATTTATTTCCAGCTAATACACCACCATATTTTTCTTAATTCATTAACCAGGCCAACTGCTTTCCTGGAGTATAGGTCCCTCACTACTCTTCAAAAACCACAGTAAGAATTTCATTTTGCCTTACCACTTGTATCTCCAGTTGGGTGGGTTTACAGTCTGGCCTAACCACAAAGAGAGTGGCATTAAAAAAGACTTGAAGTTGTCCTATGGGCCATCACACCTATACGTTTGTTAATAAAGGCAAATTAACTCAATATTTATTGTAAAGCTAAGTAAATTTTCTTTTATTCCATTAAATGAATTTTAACTACATTAAAGAAATTAGCTTATACCTTAAATCAAACAGCAGGAAATGAGTCTGAATGCTTCACCGTGAACACTTCTAAAAAAGCTTTAAAGTAACCACTCTCACAATTTCTTAAAACTCTTAAATAAAATAAGCAGTTGTGTGGCCAGTTTAAAGCAGCTGGTAGCACTGCCCTCAAGGCAGTTGTTACTATCATGCATGAACACAAGAGAGAGGGTTGTGAAAATGCTCCTCAGCCCTTCAACAGCTGGTAAAGCTCTACCAAAAATCCTGGTCCTGCGTGGTTTTGTCTTTCCCCAGATTAGCAGAGTCCAAAGTCAGTACGCAATCTGACCTTTCCAGGGGTTTGCTCCCACTAAAGCTGTTAGGAAGGCATCTACGTTTAAAGAGAAAAGTGCAAACAAAAAGTAATTTGATTAGCTTAACGGAAGATTTGCGGAAGCCTGGGGAAATCATATGTACTATTCCAAACCAAACCCCCAAATTTCTTGCCTCCTTGAGATTCAAGATGCAATCCCGACTTGTCCACCACTTGTTGGAAGCTCAGAGACTCGTTTGTTTTCCCCATGCTGGACTTTTCAGGTGGTAGCCTGGGGTGAGGAACTTGTTCAGCTTGAGCACACTGCAGGGCTGGCGTCCGGCGCAGTTCCTCGCCTGTCAGACGCACATCAAACCTCTCGTAGTAAGGCTCTGCTTGCAACCCCGTCTTTCTGACTTGCAACTGGCACAATTATCTCTGTAATCTCTTAAGTGAGACAATAGCACAGTAAATATCCCTTCACTTCTTTGCAGTTTGGTCACCCATTAGGTTGGTTGTAGAAATCAACAAACCATGTTTGGATTTTAATGTCGAGGCAGTAAACGGGACGATTTGCATCTCGTTAACTATTTCAGGCTCTCACCTCGGGTCTGTTCATACGGGTTTGCACTAGTTCAGCTAAGCCAACGCGGGTTTGGACATGGATATGCCTCAAGGTTATACTTCAAGTATCTTCTTTGCTCATGTAAGAACTGGACATAAAGCGCCAGCACCAGACAAAAGTTTCGAGACACCTCTGAGTAGCTGCATTAGAACCCTGAACCAAAGGGTCTTAACACAGCAATGGCCTTGGCCAAGGCACAGATTTCCAGTTCGTAAGACAATCAAGCGAATTACTCTTTCCAAATAATGAGGCAAACAAAACAGCTCGCATTTTTATTTAACTGAAGTAAAGCAATACAGCAAAACCAGAAATGCGTAACTGTTCAGGTTATGTGGCGAAAACTGAAACAGATTCTTGGATCCAACAGTTACTGAGAGCGCTGCTGGAGAGTAGATGACAGTCTCTTGGGGACGTAATTTGGATGTATTGATCCCAGATAAATGAAAACATTATCGTTCGTAAAGAATCCAAACGTTAACAGCCACAATTTAAAGCATTTCTTTCCGTTTGCTCTCTGTAATGCTAATGAATAGGAGTTACTATGCTACTTCTATATGGCTGGTTTAATACTGCTTGTTTACCGTTAATTTTTTTTTTTTGATTGAGCAATTCAAAAATTCTTGAGATTTCAAGATACATGACAATACACAGTAATACATCGTTTCAGCATGCGGTCATAATGCCTTCTGTTTAGCAGAAGCATAGCTTTGCAAAACTAAAAAGCAAGTCTAAACTAAAGAGTCTTCTTTGAGCTACTGTCACAATGTGATGCTGCAGTAAACAAAAAAGGATGTATGATAAAGACACTGCCCAATCACCTGATACAGGGGATGCTCAATTGAATCCAAGTTTCACTTATCCTTGAAACACAAAAAAAAAAATCTTAAGATGGAAGAGAAACAAAGAGTTTGATAGATTTCCTTTGCCGAAGCACAAAGTAAATTATTTGGGATTAAAAAATCCATAGCGTCTAACCTTTGTGGTGGTGTTTTTCCAGTTGCTCAGTGATGATGTGGGACTCTATTTTCAGGATATGCAATCTTGGCACAAATGGCTTCTAAACTAAAAATTTTCAGTTCATTCCTTATGTGGAATGCTGCACATTCTTTTCTACTCTCTCTAATCCACAGTGGAAACACATTTATAGTGCATTAGATGTGGGTTTTTTTAATGAACCTAAAATTAGATTCTCTATAAATCTAATGCCAAAATAAATAATTTTCCTTGGCTTAATTCTGTAGTTTAAATATAATTGCTAGCTTGACTATCTTAGGATAACCAGCATTTTAAAACAGTGTAACTGACAGAGGAAAGGGTGAATGTGGTTGCAGTAGCTGACGCCTCCGCATCGATGATGGATTATTAGCAATGTCTTAAGTCATCTTCTAAATAACCTAAAAGTAGAAAACATTTCTGCCAGTACAGTTTCCTGCAGTATATGGCCATGTGCTTGCATTGAAGAGCTAAGCGTGTTTTTTCGGGTCCCCTTAGATTTTCTGAAAGGCTGCATTCACTTTTCCTCTCTTACCCTGTGCGTGCCAGATAACGCGCAGCTGTCAACCGCCTTTGAAGGCTGCACCGCCGACACAAGTTGCGCGCCGTGCTGCAGGAGCAACAGGCGAACAAGAAGGAGCCCCTTCAGCCCACTGAAGTTCTCGCTGTGCAGGCAGGAGCAGAGCAGAGTGCAGAAGGGGGAAGGCTGGGCCGCAGAGCAGCCGTCTGACCAGCGCCTGCCCGCCAGAGCTGCCGACTGCTCAGCAGCGTGGTGCAAAACCCCTAATTAGGCAAGGGCAGGCTTGCTCTGATCATCGGCCGGAGGCAGCTCCTGAGATTATTGCGATCTGCTGGATCCCTGGAGCTAATCAGGAGAATGGGAGTGATGAAATAGCAAGCA